TATTCGTAAGCAAAAGTAAAACTTGAATAATAAAAAATGCACCACACTTCGTCACGATTGAATTCACCTCAACTACCCCCTTATAGGCAAGAATAACATAAGCATACAATTGTTTTCGTTTTCATATGTTCGAAATTGGAAAAACCGTTAAACCAAAAAAATGTTTCCTCATATGTGGCAACTTTTCAAACTCTCTCGCTCTCTCTTAAAATATTAAATATCTGCTCTGCCTTCAGGCTCAGTCGGTTGGTTATTTATTCTAATCAGTTTATGGTTGCATGGAATAATGTTAACGTTAATCTCTCCCTTCAACTCTCTTATTAGATTAGCTTATATTATAACACATTTATATTACAGTTAGTTAGAATGACTGTATCTTGAAAAAGTGTAAAATGTGAATTATCTTCGGTTAAGTTTTTTTAAATGGGTTTGTGCACAAACTAAACGCATATCATCATAATGTTCACCCTGTGTCTTTGAAATATGGACTACGGATACAAGACAAGATTTACTTTGACGCGTTTGTATAACACATCCTAAAAAGGTGCCATATTGCTCATACACACAAACACACACGCACACAATACATCATAGAGCTGATAAAAGCACGTAAATGCATACATAGATATGTACATATACTTATGAATATCATACAGGGCATCGCATTCTTTAGGATGCGCACGTTTGCGATGACTATGCATTAGAGTTCGCATTAAAGTTGAAAGTTATTGGACACCAGGTACAAATGTAAAGAACATCATTTAGATATATAAATAGTGTGCTTGCGATTGTTAGCCATTTCATGGTTAAATTTGAGCGATTGAATTCGGTGATACCTACGAACTTATTGGGCAACTGATGAGTTGTGTTTACCACCTTCAGGATGTTGTATCATCTTATGACGTTTCAAGCCACGTGGCTCGCTTAATTTAAGGCCGCCGATGTCAGAGCTTACCTCCGGCGGTGGTTGCCCCGTGTGCACTAACATATGATGTTCAAAGACATCGCTGCTCCTTATAGATTTTATGCATAAATCGCATGTCTTCCTTATAGCATCACTGTTAGAAAGGAACCCTGTGTCTTCGAACAGAGTAGTCTGTAGTTGAAATGTATTTATTTATCTCAATAAGACATTTTTATACTCTACACTGCTTGTGGTACATCAAACTTTTCCGGATGTGTGCAACGCCCAGACAGACTTCAGATAGACTCACCTTTTATTACACCAATCGATTAAGAATCATTCTATCTTTCGTCTAAGCTTGTCCGTACGCCTGCCTTTCTAATGTCTATCCATGTATTTTTCGCAATTTTCAAAATAATTTGACGAAATTGGTTGCGCTTGGCTGAAGGAAGGATGCTATTGAAAAACAATTGTTGGCATCGGACCACTTTTTCGATCACTCCCCATATAATGCTCTATTTTGATAAGTCATTATATGGCAAAACGGTAAATTTCAGTATTTCGCGCAACAAGTCGGGATTCGAATCGGATGAGGTAATATAGCCTTTCCCACTAAAACTAAATCTTTCTTAACATATAAGAAAGCCCAAATTTCAATGCTTCCGAGTGAGAGAGAATAATTTCATAATAATAATTTGATATCAAAAATAACTTTCCCGATTAGTGGATAATGTGACAAATAAGACAAATTGCATGCCAATAAATTACAATTTTAAAGATTTTATGATGAAAACTGAAAAGTAGTCCTCACCGAACTAAGTATAGCCAATTTGAATCACATAGACCGCACCATATGCAAGGGCGTTCATGAAAGCGACAAAGTCTAATGGTTTGTCTTGACATAAGGAAGCGGAAGATAATAAAATCTTTTAATAAATAAATTAAGTTTGCTTAATTTGGATCGCTTCAAGCTGGAGCATCATTAACAAATTAAGAAATATCATCAGTTCTCGCGGTGATAAAATCAAAATGCTTTTGGGTACCAAGTCGGGTCGGTTTATTGGGAAATAAACTAGGTGATCGAGCGATGAAGTCCGCTGGTTTTGCATCTCTAATTATGGACTATCTCATGGAAAAGTTAGACCTGCAAAGATACAGTGGAGGAAAAGTTAAAGAGAAAATAGTTAAAGGAAATCGACAATGCTATCATCAGCACTGTCCATCTGTTAACCCTCAATAACTTCGTCCGTTATATTCAGCGGATATTAAGAAAATCAGGAACAAAACGTTTTCAAGCACTCGCCTTGGACATATAAATGCAACACAGCAACGGATCTTAATGAGGTCTTCCTCTCCAAACTGTGAGTGAAGTACCAACGATACGGCCATTAAAGCATCTAGCGTTTCCGAGGGCACTAGGAAAGCGGCAGGTATAACCCCTAATAAAGCTAATGACACTACTCTTTCGAGAGTCCATAATGTAGTGTGACTACCATCGCAACTGTGGGCAAATTTGCATAATAAGGCATTTTCCTTTATTAGAAGAATTGCATTTGGATCAACTAATCCTATGGACATCCTGCAGTATATTACCTTATTAGAACTACAAGGCTCAATATCTCATTTTCTTTCCCATGATAGAGCTGAGAGGGTATATTGTTACTTACTGATCAATGTGGTTTTTTTTTTAATCTAAGAATTTAATTCATTAGTTTAAAAAATTATACTATTAGTAATAATAACAATAAATGGCTTAAAATTTATTGTCCCCCTTTGTGCCTAATACCTCTCCTCCGAGAGTTTCCTTATGAAATAACAAAAATTATACTTTACTGTAATTCATTCAGTAAATTGTGGATCTGGCGTAAAACGTCAAGCGTCGCGGTCCAAGTTTACTAAAACTAAGCTTTTATTTAAAAGACAGACGTTGTTGTTGTTCACTTAATCTTGCCAAAAAATGCAAAAATCAAGTTAGTATATAAAGACATGACAACGCAGTATATGCGAGAGCGATGAGAAGCGTGGCCCTTTTTTTCGACCAATATTAACTCCAAAATACTAAAAAGGAGACTTTTGCTGCTAAGCAAACTTTTTTATTTTCGTTAAAAGCGTTTATATGGGGGAGGATGCAAAAAATGCTTGCATCCCATCCAAATTTCTGATCTCATCAATTTTGTCTTTGAATTTCAACATGTCAGTGTAGAAAATTTCATCACTCTATCTCCGCATCCGCGTAATGTGTAATTTGGGCACAAAAATACATGGATCGACATGAAGGGGGCAGATGGACAAATATATTTAAATTGCTTCAGAAAATAACTTTGAAGCTTTGCGAACTGATGTAGGGTATTCAAGGATACTAATTTAATTTGCACAAACATCGCAAAGGCTTAATATTTATATGAATTTTGTGAATCAAGTAAGAAATTTACGTTTGTGTTGTAATTGCCTGGGGAGAGAAAATCAAAACTAATTATGTTTCGGAAATATTTATAAAATGATGAGTGAAATACGTTTAGTTTTCACACCGGGAACTTGAACAAATTATGTCATCGACAAACCAAAAGATCTACAAATGGTTTATGTTCCAAATTGACAAAAAGACATTATTGATGCCACAAATGAAAATTGTTTTCAACCCTCCGCACTTCAGATCGCTGCGAAGCGAAAATTTGAAAGTAAAATCAAATCACAGAGATAGGACGATAAGGTAGGCAATACAAAAAAGAAAAAAGGTACACACTAACACGAATGTAAAATTTTAAACCACTTTTTTTTTTTTTTTGAAAAAGAGGGCGAAACTAAACCATCAACACGATTATTTCGCATAAAATAAATTGATTCACAGAAAGAAAGTATAAAGCATACTCAACATGAAAAGAACAATGAAGAGGAAAAACCAAAAAAATATCTCCTCTAAGTTATACAAACCACCAAAATAATATTTAATAAAAGTCAATGTGCTAAAGAGTACACAAAAGGATCTGACAGACAGACGTTCTTATGTAACCAAAAAAAAAAAAAAATAAGAAGAAAATTTGTCCACAATAAGTTGGCGACCACAACGTACTCTGATGTGCAATGAAAAGAATATCGTTTCTTATACTCTACCCCCAAGACAAACAACAACAACAGCGAATCTGAAGAAATATGAAAGAAGAAATTGCTTTAGAGAAGAGTGTCTGTCAAGAAAGACAAAAAAAAAAAAAAAAGAAGAAGAAGAAGAAAACAATTTGAAAAGTAATGAAAATCAATAGTGAACACCCTTCGTCAACGAAATATTCTTGACTTGCACATCTGTATTGCAACAATATTCTATGAAGAACTAAAACATACACACAACACACACAAGCACACATACACAGAAAATACCCTCCGCTTTGAAGCATCTCCTAAGTGTTTATTGTTCGTTGTCACTTCATCTTCTTATATCATTCTTACCGCAAAGGATGACCTTCTTATGTATTTTTACGATTATATCCTTAAAACGTTTATCTATTAAGGTAAGTGTTTCTGTCTCTTAGATATACGTCATGATCGGTGATTTTATTTATCGCATGTAAACTATAAGGATTACCTTAACACACTTTTTACTCTAAATTAACC